TGGACTTACTTTCAGTCTTAGGTACTCTAAATTCTAACATTAATTATTAAAAATTCACAGATACTATTGATTTCTATTTTATCATCGTTGAGATTATTACTAATAGTTAATGATAATAAATAGAGTGAAATAAGTAAAGTTACTATGAACAGCTTTATTGAACATTACTCAGACTACCAGAATCAGAGATACAATTTGCAGCCTATATTCTACGTCAGATTTATGTTTGCATGATTTTAGTCTACCAGAGCCACTGCCTTGTTATGAAGTATAACAGATCTCTTTCCAAAAGACAAGCAGAGACTGACCCTTGAAAATTTCACTGAAAATGGCCTTGATTCTGTAGCTTCCTGTGACAATGTGAGAATGACAAAAAGCCCCCTGTGCAGCTACAATGCATGAGATGGATTCAAGTGCATATTGTCAATGAGGAAGGGAACAGGCAGTAATATAAAATTGAGAAGGAAAAATTATATCCTCCCAGAGGCATATTCAAATACCAAGTAACAGGAAAGGATGAGATAATAAAAAATAGCATTACATGGTGAGAAGAAAGGTAACATCTTGCTGATGTCCTTAATCAAAGTTTGGAGGTTTCAAAGATAAGCCTTCTTGAAACTGAGGCAGACAATAGTAGACCTTGTATATGCTCACAGAAAACACAAACAGAAAATCACTGGTTGAATATAACTTTTCATTCACACGTATAAATTGTCAATTATAGAGAGTGAAAGACCAGCCATCTCACACACAACTCACACACACACATACAATCACAAGAAATCTACATGAATAAATATGCATGAAAATATTATAGATGTGAAAAACGAAGTATCTTTAATGAAAAATCAATTTAGACAGTTTCCCAAATGGAAATGGTTAAATTGTATTCAATTAGTAACATAGATCTAATGAATATTTTTCTAAGTGGTTGGACACTCGGGCAATTCCATCAAAAAAGGTCTGCTGTTGCATGGTAGTCTAAGCTTCAGTAGTCATTACTGAACAGACATGAACATCCTTATTATGGATTAATGCAGGGGGTACACATGGTGTCTCATCAGAGAACATCGTGAACAGATGAGCATCTAGAACTTCTCAGTAGAAGCCAGAAGACCAGTATCTTCCATAGCAGCATGGGCGGTAGCAGGCATAGCCATAGCCACCGTAGCCACATCCATAGCCACATCCCAGGCCACCATAGCCATAGCCCAGGCCACCATAGTAGTTGTTGTAGAAGCTCATGATGTGAGGATAAGGAGGCTCAGTTGAAGTCAGAGTCAGTTTCTAGAGTCTTAAATTTATAGTCTGCCCAGGGCCTTATATATCAATGGAATGGTATGTGGGGCAAACCTAAGTCACTGTTGGACTCATTTTAAACTCATTAGCATGAAGACCATCTCAGGAATTCTTCAAAAGCAATATATCCAAGCCAAGACAACTCTGTTGTGTGTCATGAGATCATGTGCCTTTAATGAGAGAGTCTTCTCCTAGTTTGGTGGCTTGTTTATTCTAGATTCCAAATTTAAACTATATTCTAGCTGCCATGTGACCATACAACTCATGTAGAGTTTTCTTGGTGAAAATCTTAGTTTCATTCAATAATATCCTCCTTCTATCTGCATATATGCAGCGTTGGGAATAAAAGTGTGGCTTCAAAGTGGAAAAGGACAGTGGAAAATTTATGGAGAAACATGGTAGAAGATACGTGGAAGACATAGAGATGATGTGGCAGGGTTCAGTTGTAAATACTTGAGTGATTAGTTTATTTTATTAATTTTGTGGATCAGTATTGTTCGCTTCCATTTATACTGTGTATATATATATATATGTATTTATGTCTGTGTGTATATATATATGTATGTGTGTGTATATATATATATATATATATGATGTTGTAAATGAACAAAAACCATGATACAGTCCCTGTAGTTTAAATCCATGAACTATGATTATAACAGAAGTAGAAGTATTTATTCTGTTAGTAAGTTGAACTTAATCTATTTCAGAGACTGTCAAAGATTTACTGACATTGTCTATCCACTGTTACAACATTGTTAATAGATACGTCTCTTTTGGCATTTTGCCCAAAATGCATAACCTCAACATTGTTATGAGAAAACAGACATGACAAAATAGAAGAACATACTACAAAACTTTTAACTCTTTGAAATTGTTAATGCCATAAAAGTTAAAGACTGACAAACTGTCACTAATTGATGGAGGCTAAAGGTATGACAACCAAAAGCCAGGTGGGATCTTGCATTGGATACTGGAATAGAAAAATAGAAATTCGTGGAAAAATACAGAATTCAAATAATGTGTATAGATTACTTAAGAATATTGCACCAGGCTAATTTCTTAATTTATGCTTGGTCTTGGAAGATGCTAACATAGAAATAGTTGATTAAATGGTATAAGAGTATATGCTATATATTCTTGCAACTTTTGACAATTCTAAAATCACTTCAGAATAAGAAAGAATTATTTTTATATAATCCTTGATTGCATTTAGTTGGTCAGTTATTAAATTCCTTCATACATCAAACTTTCAGACTCAATTGTATGTTCAGCACTGTTATGTGCATGGGGGATGGAGCAGTGAACAGGACAGACAAGGTTCCTAGTGTCATGAATCTTATAATCTGAAATGAGCAAATGCAGACAATGCAGGCAAAAATTTGAAAGCAAATTCTCAAAGTGAGTGATATAATAAGTTGCTGATAGGACTGAGCCTACTTAAATCTTAAATCATGGCAAAATAAGGCAAATTTAAGGAGTATTGGTGAGCGTTTACTTCAGAAAGGATGGTCAGGGAAATTCTCTCTGAGAGATCCAAGGGAACAGAAGATTCTAGCCTTTCTGCTGTTACTTGCAGTGGCTTTAAGTGGGAAACAAACTTAGTAGATCTGAAGAGGTGAAAGGCCATTGATTTATGCATACCATAAGGAGAGGCAGAGTGCTACAAGACGTACTCATAGAGGTGGTGAAGGCTCTAACAGGTAAACCATAAAGGCTGTGCTTCCTATGCTTTGCGTTGCCAGATGCAGCAAATAGTAATGCTGAACACCTAGATACATTTGATTTTGAGATAAGCGATTTTTGTATAAGCGAATTTTGTATATTGATATCCCATGAAATGTTTGGAAAATTATATATTCTGAGTTTCAGTATTTTGAAATTGAAATTTAACTGGGTGTCTTGTATAATCTAGAATCCTTAATGTGGAAAGTCATTAATGGACAAATCACTAGGAATTTCTGTCTCTGATTTATGTCTTACATGCTTTTAGATGTAGGAAAAAAGGTAGGGGAAATGTTTGGGGTTATGAAAAATCATGAACTCAGTTTCATTTTGTAAAATTTTTGATGCAAATTAACAATCTAAGAAAATGTCAAATGATCATTTGGATAAATATCAGACTATTTTTCACAAAGTTATAATATCTTTTGTGGTTACTTTAATCAAATACTTCTTCCCATACAAAAAAAGTCATTGATACTCTTTCATAAATTGAGTGAGTCAGTTTAGTCATAACAATTTCATATGATATTCTAAAAACTTAACTTTGAGGAAGATGGATCATCACATTATTTAATGAGTATTACTGCAAACTTATGCTAACTTATCATCTTCACTGACTTAGTTTTGTGATAGTTGAGGCCACTTTTATTTTCTGTATGAGATATTTGAAAAATGATACAGTGATGTTTTGTAATTCTAATGATGAAGTTCTAATTTAGATGCGTTTTGTAATTTTAATACTTCAGCTCAGCAAAAGATGAATAAAAGTCACAATATTGTACCTATTTTACAAAAAAAAAAAATCTTGCCGAATCCCGGTATGGAAAAAAACATTAAAAAACACATGCTGGATGAATAGATGAATGTGTTTGATCCGATTCTTAGTATGAAAACATTCTGCTTTACTAAGAAGGATTTTTTGAGTCATTAGACATACTTCTCAAGGCAGACAAATTGGAAAATGTTTAAATCTTGTGGCTTCAATCTTACGATCTTCACACAAGAATTGGATAAAATACAGGAGATGTCCTATATCTGTTACTCTCTGTCCCTTTCTAAGGTTACGAGAAGATAGGTAAAAATAATACTTTGACTCTGAAATATCATTAGAATAACAGAAATCTACTGATGGATTACGCATGTATTTGTGGATAATGCCACCTCACCACATATATTCTACTAAAGACACAAAGTACATTTTAACTGTAATATGAACTAGTCTCACTTTTCTGGTGCCTCCCAATGGGAGGGATTATAACACTATTTTGAGAAAAGAAGGTAATAATGCTAGGACTATGCAAAAGAACTCAGTGTGACTGGTACAATGTGAGTCATAACTGAACATATTGATAAACAGATCTGTGTTTAGTACATTGATAAATGTAGATATGCAATGCTACTCTATTGGAAATTCAGAATATAATTCTAATATTAATGAGAAAACTAACTAATTTGTTGTATGTATTTATAGTCAGTTTAGAAAAAAAACAAGTGGAAATTGGAGAAATTGGATTCTAAAGAATATTTCTGTTTTGCAGTCCTCCAGCAGAAATTGAATAATGAGTGTTAGACTCATCGGTACAAGTGAAAAAGTACAATACATTTTGCTCAGATTTTCCTTTTGGAAATTTTAATTACTCAGATTACTATCAACACCATAGGATGAGAGATACATTATGGTTTCAATATAGAAAATAATTGAATCCTTGAAGATGATACTTACGTTGGATAAAAGTGTGAAAAGTCCACATGTCAAAAGGACTGTGAGTCTTATGAAAAAATAGTGAAACTGGGGCCAACAGCAAATAAGAGTCAAACTAACAAATGTCATTTCTCTTGGTATAAAGGACGATCCCAAAACGTTAAAATGAAATTGCAAATTTGATCAGGAATATGTACGTGTGAGTGAATGTCTGCTCTTATTCAAAACCTCAGTTGCATAAGAGGAGTCCAAACTGAGAAATCAACACAACAAGCCGCTGGATTTCACTGAAGCTTTATCTTATGGTTGAGAAACAACAAACTAATTAGATTAGTCATAAAGTTTGGCAACGTCATGAAGTTGTGGTGGGTCACACCCACACTGAGGACATATAAAAGGCCCTCTGCAGGGAGACATGTCCACCCTGAAGTCACACTTCTACTCTCCTTCTCTCTCCAAGGACAACCTCGACCCAACAGCAACACCATGTGCGGCTACTACGGAAACTACTATGGGGGCCGTGGCTACGGCTGCTGTGGCTACGGAGGCCTGGGCTGCGGCTATGGGTCCTGCTATGGCTGTGGCTTCCGCAGACTGGGCTGTGGCTATGGCTGTGGCTATGGCTTTGGCTCCCGCTCTCTCTGTGGCTGTGGCTATGGGTGTGGCTCTGGCTGTGGCTCTGGCTTTGGCTACTACTATTGAGGACGCCAT